GAGGTAGCTCTTCTGTGTGGTGCCATCCGCTTCGCCAGAGGTTGTTTGGTTTCCCCGATGTATAAATCCTGGCAATCCTCCTGGCACTTAACAGCGTACACTATGTTACTCTGTTTGTGTCGGGGGACCCGATCCTTGGGGTGGACCAATTTTTGGCGCAGCGTGTTTTGGGGTTTAAAAGCCACAGAGACCCGGTGTTTTGAAAAAATGCGTCTCAGTCCTGTTGCTGAGGTTGGTGTCATCCTGTAATCTCTTACGGACTACCTCCAACGCTTCCGTGACTGGGATGCAAGTGAAGAGAGATGTAACGTCGTACGAGACCATGGTTTCATCTGCCTCCATAATGACATCTCTCACCTTCTCAACAAAATACAGGGTGTTCTGGATGTGGTGTTCAGTGGTGTTCAGAGCTGCCCACCAGTGGGTTGAGGATCAAAGCCAGAAACTTGGAGATGTTATAGGTGACAGAATTGATCATGCAGACAAGCTCCACTTTTGGAGATTTATTTTCCTGGATGATTGAGAATGCATCAAGACGTTCTCTTATTGGATTAATTGGTTAGGTGAAGATTTGTGATATATTTAAGATATATTTTCATATGAAGTACAAAAACCTGTCATTGTGTGTGTTTTAGTTTGAGATTGTTAAACTTAATTATTGCTCTGAATTTAAAAATAGTTTGAGACCTTCTTAAATAAATTAAATTATTTTGCAGAATGTGAAAAAAACAACTGGTTCAGAAATCTTGGGTGTACGTTTGTAAAGATATCAATAGAAAGCAAACTAGGCCTTTGCTCTTCTTTCCTGTAATACAACAGTCAACAACAGTCAGTTGCAGGATAAACTAGTCAGTGATAGACTTTAATGTGGCAGCAGTGAAATCCTCATAATTGTGCTTCCTGTTCCTGTCATAGATGATGTCAAATCATTACGGGCTCTCGTCAACCCTGAAATATCCAGGTGAGTAATTTAATTGCATTCTGCATCTGCATTAAAAAGTACCCGGCAGATTCTGCTGTGTTCTTAGAGTCCCATTAATTCATGTGTCTACAGAATCCGAAACATCGGCATCATGGCCCACATCGATGCAGGCAAGACGACAACCACAGAGAGGATGCTTTACTACGCCGGTTACACAAGGGCATTGGGAGGTGTGCAGGAAAACAGCATGCAGCAGTGATGCTAATTCTTAATTATCCAAACCTGACTCTGATTCTTTTTTAAAAATGTTTTTTTTTAACAATTTGATTTCATGTCACTGTTGTTTTTAGATGTTGACGATGGGGATACAGTGACAGATTTTATGGCCCAAGAGCGAGAGCGTGGCATCACCATACAGTCAGCAGCAGTAACCTTTGACTGGAAAAGTCATAGAATAAATCTCATAGACACACCAGGTAAGAATAAAGAAATAAGGCAACTTCTAGTAGAAATTTAAAAAATGACTGAATGACTACGTCACTACAGGACACGTTGACTTCACGCTTGAGGTGGAGCGGGCACTTCGTGTGCTTGATGGGGCTGTGGCGGTGTTCGACGCGTCGGCTGGCGTTGAGGTTATTTCCCCTTTTCCAAACACCTTCCTTTTTTTCATTAAAATTGGCTTCAGGCTCTGATCATTGTGGGGTTTTTTTCCTTTGAAAACGCCAACAGGCTCAGACTCTGACCGTGTGGAGACAAGCAGAGAAGCACCACATCCCCTGTGTTTGTTTCCTCAATAAGATGGACAAGCCTGCAGCGAAGTGAGTGACTCAGTTTAAGTTTTCCCATTTAATGCAAGTTTTGTTTTACTTTTCTGTTGCAGTGTTAAAATTGAGACTCTCTTTCATTTTGTTTTCTTTCAGCTTGAGTTTCTGCATTGAGAGCATAAGGCAGAAATTGAAAGCCAATCCAGTCCTCTTGCAGGTAGGTCATCAGAAATTTTCAACAGCTCTTTACGTTCCTGAAAAGTTTTTCTGTTTTATTTTTCAGATTTTATTTACACATAGTTTTGAGTCTCCAGCCTCAACTGACATCTACACATCAGCAACTTTATACATATATATATATTTTATATTTCACAGTTAAAACACCGCACCAGTGTGGATGTAAGCCTAGGATATTAAATGTGATCCTAAACTTGGCTAGCACAAAAACAGGTTTAAAACAAAATGTACTTACTGGATGAACTGAACACAGTGTCTTTTAGTACAACAATACAACACACAAGTATTTAACAGCAATATTTCACAGTCTATAAACCCCTGTGTCATAGATTCCTGTTGGCAGTGGAAAGAACTTCACAGGTGTTGTTGACTTGTTAACCAGCCAGAAGCTGATGTGGAAGATGAAATCTATGAGAGATGATGGCAGAGCGTTTGAAGTCAAAGCTCTTGACCGGTCTGATGATCCAGACCTCCTGCAGGTGGTCAGCGATGCAAGGACAGCTTTAATTGAGCAGGTACACGATCAGATTGGAGTAACGTTTTCCAGCATTTCTTAAGGTGCCTCCGATTATTTTTCTTCCAGTTTACACGTCTTTTCTCAAATCACAGGTCGCTGATCTGGACGATGAGTTTGCAGAACTGTTGCTAACCGATTTTAGCGAGAATTTCGATGCCATTCCCTCTAATAAAGTAAGTCTTGCAAATTGTAGTACCCCAATATGACCTTTTAAAGTACATCAGTGCTGCTGTTAGTTCTTGTGAATATAGACTTATCAGTGTCGAACACGTCTCCAGCTTCAAGAAGCCGTGCGGCGAGTTACTCTGGCCCGTAAAGGTGTACCGGTCCTCTGTGGCAGCTCTTTGAGAAACAAAGGTGTTCAGCCTCTTTTAGATGCCATCACTGCCTACCTGCCTGCTCCTAATGAACGACACCATGATGTGGTGTAAGTGAACCTTTCAGCTTACTGCTAACTTAGACTAGACCTGTTATAACACCAAGTTAAGTCTTATCATTTTAGATCACATTGCTCTAGTTTAGATCAGATTAGGCTGGAAGGATTGTTTTGTTTTGTTTTTTTCAATTTGATATGATTAATTGTTACTGAAATGATTGTTTCTTTATCTGTTGACTAGATTACAACTGAACCTAACTACAGAGAATGCTTGGTGTTGATGCTGTGAATAGCACTGATTATCTCTTCGTCATGGCTTCTGTTAGCTAGTGGGAAATATTAGGAAGCAAGTGAACATTTTGCTCTCAGAGTTGATGTGTTAGAAGCAAGAAAAATGGGAGAGCGTAAGGATTTGAGCGAGTCTGACAAAGGCCAAATTGTGATGGCTAGACGACTGTGTCAGAGCATCTCCTAAACTGCAGCTCTTGTGGGGTGTTCCCGAGTTGCAGCGGTCAGTAGAAAGGTAAAAGAGAGGCGTCAGAATACACCGCGTGTCCCAGTTTGTTGCATATGGGGATCCGTAATCGCAGACCCGTCAGGGTTTCCATGCTCACCTCTGTCAACCTCTGAAAGGGCCAACAAGGTGAAAGGGTCATGTTAGCATCAGGAATGGTTGACTTGGCCTCCAAATTCTGAAAATTCAGTCGAGCGGCTGTGGGATGTGCTGGACAAACAAGACTGATACACGGAGGCCCTTAAGCCCTGTTCATTATCATCTCACAGGCGGTGGTACAAAGACGACCTGTGTGCACTGGCCTTCAAGGTTCTCCACGACAAGCAGCGCGGCCCTCTGGTGTTTCTTAGGATCTACTCTGGTACTCTGAAACCACAGACGGCGCTCCACAACATCAACAGGAACAGCACGTATGCAGTTTCAAACCTCTGATCTCCACAGAAGCTGCAGTGTAACACACTTTCACAGACGTACTCCATCATAGAGTCATTATTACAACGCAGCATGTCCAATCTTGTATATTTGCAGTGAGAGGATGAGCAGGCTGCTGGTGCCATTTGCTGACCAGCATGTAGAAATCCCTTCGATGACAGCGGGAAATATTGCCCTTACTGTGGGACTCAAGCAGGTAGAGCTTCTCTAAATTTCCAATATTTGCTTAAATTAAGATTTCCCCCCACCCTCAAATGTTCCTTATGGTTTCTCCTTTCATTTAAGACAGTTACAGGAGACACTATTGTGTCATCGAAGGCGTCAGCAGCAGCCGCGGCCCGCCGAGCCCAAAATGACAGCGAGGCGGGAAAGAGGAGCAGAGAGTGTGCCAGCGTGATCCTGTCAGGAGTGGAGGTCCCTGATCCCGTCTTCTTCTGCACCATAGAACCGCCATCTATGTCCAAACAGGCCGGTCAGTTATTTGAGGCGATTATGTGCTAGTGTGTAGCTGTGCTTCACCAACTATGTGCTCACTCACTCACTTATTCATTTATTTGTTTTTACCATGAAAGATCTTGAAAATGTGCTCAACTGCCTCCAAAGAGAAGACCCCAGTCTCAAAGTCCGAGTTGATCCAGACTCTGGTCAGGTAATGCATCGGATTAGCCGGGACTTTCTTTGTCCAGTGCTAGAATGAGTCACCGAAACCACCTTCGCTCTCCGTTCTCAGACCATTTTATGCGGAATGGGAGAGCTGCACATCGAGATCATCCACGATCGAATCAGAACAGAGTACGGCATTGAGACTCACCTCGGGCCGCTGCAGGTTTCTTACAGAGAGACAATTCTCCACGAGGCTTCGGCTTCAGGTACAAACACTTTTCACATTTGGAGGAACAGTTTTCGTCAGCTTCGCGCAGCAGCCGTCAAATTCTTTTTATGAATTTGGTGCAGACACTCTGGACCGGACAGTAGGGGAGAGAAGACATGTCGTAACAGTGGAGCTGGCTGTCGGGCCTGTGGATATCGCCTCAGTGGGTGGTTCATGCGAACTGGCTGTCACGGAAGAATTAGAGGGACAGCTTTCAGCAGAAATGAAAGAGGCAGTGGAGAATGGAGTGCACAGCTCATTTCTTCAAGGTAAATGGACCAAACTCATTTTTTCTTTTGTGAAGTATCATTTTCATGACTTAAAACACACAAAGCACTGGAATGTCCCTTATTTTGGTTAAATTTTTTTTTAATTATATGCTGTATATTTATTACAACTTCATTTTAATCTGTTTTACTGAATTTCCCCCCTTAATTGCAATAACTCCTTCATTCAGGTCCACTGCTAGGTTACCCATTGCAGAGTGTGTCTACACTGATGCAGCGTGTTACCATAGAACCTGGGACATCACCTGCCATGGTGTCTGCCTGCGTGTCTCGCTGCATGCTGAAGGTAAAAGCGTTATTGATAAGCTCTAATTGGTTAGTGCTGGAACTATAAGGCTGAGCTGTGGTTCCATTTCTTTGGATGCAGGCCCTGCGGCTCGCGGGTGGACAGGTCCTCGAGCCAGTCATGTCGTTAGAAGTGACTGTCGGCGATGACCACCTCAGCTCGGTGCTGGGAGACTTGGCTCAAAGACGAGGAACGGTCAGAGACATCCAGAGCCGTCATGACAACAAGGTGCTCTTAGCAACCGTGCCCCTGGCTGAGATGATGGTGAGAGGACACTCAAATGTTAACAGATTGCTTTTTTGGAGGGTTTAATTTGCCAGTGAGAATTATTTATGATTTAAAAACTTGTGTCCACGTAAAGGGTTATTCCACCGTTCTACGAACACTGACATCTGGCAACGCCACCTTCTCCCTGGAGCTGGATACCTACGAGGCCATGAACCCTCAGGAGCAGAACACACTCCTCAAAAGACTCTCTGGCCTGCTGTGATCCCAGTTCAGTAATGTGACCAGAAGCCTTCTCAAACAGAGAGATGATTTTTTTTCCTCCCCCTCAGACAATAATAATTAGTCTGGATCAAATATTTATTCTGTGAATATCTACAGCTGGTTAACAGTGACAAGAATGTGTATGATGTTCTAAAATAAATGTGAAACCAGTCACTTTAAATCCTTGGTTTTTATTTTGTAAACAACCAGAAAAATCTTCTGAACTGTTAACTTTTTATTGACAATGAATTCTAGAAACATTCATAAAAAAAGTGCAATCATAACAGTAACACCCTCGACATTAAATATGATTTAAAAGTTCTGTGGAGGAAATCTAAAAAAGGACGATGTGTTTCAGAGCTCATCAGTACAGTGATCTAGGCAATTCAGCATTTTAGTTTCATATAGTTGAAGAATATGAATTTTTTCCCTTTCCATTTCATTTGCTGGGTCCGGTCTTCGTTTTCAGACACCCTTGTACTCACGTGGACAGTAGCTGGAAAACAGCGGCTCAGCTGGGATGCCGCGCCTAATGTAGGACACAATGATTTAGTAGTGGAACAACACCTTAATGCAAAATACCTAAATGACTCTCCTCTTAACAGAAAGGCACCTGCTAACTGATAAAATTAGCAGGTAGATACAAATTAGTGGTACAAAGGCTCCTCTGATACTTACTCTACCATACGGCAGCGGTGCAGTGACAGTCTGTTGAAGGCATCGCCGATGTCGGTCACGCTTTTGGCGCTCCACAGCCGCTCTGCCACAGCACTGGCACGAGGCCTGGAAGTAATAACAAGAAGCAGAAGTTGGTTGTCTGGAGTATTCAGGTTAACTCAATGCCAAGGAGGAAAGCAATCAGCAGTGATCTTAGAGAAGCAATTGTTGCTGCCCATCAATTTGGGAGGGCTTATATGGACATTTTGAAAGTCTCAAATCAGAAAAAGACTGAACAAGTATGGGTTTGTTTGGAAGACTTGCCAGGAGAAAGCATCTCCTCTAAAACATGGCAGCACAGATTAGGTTTCGGGGATAACATCCTTTGAACAGATGAGACTAAAACAGAAGTCTTTGGCCAAATTGGTGGAAATCGAACACAGCATTGGCACAAACACCTCTTAACAACTGCCAAGCACAGTGGTGGAGGGGTGATGATTTAGGTTGCACCGAGTCAACCATGAACTCCTCTGAATACTAAAGTATTATAGAAGCAAATGTGAGATTTCAGATTCAGAAAATTCAGAAAACCTATAACAGAATGGCTGAAAGAGAAAAAAGTAATGCTGTATTGGCACAGTCAAAGTCCAGACCACGCTCTCGACCTCAAACTTGATTGAAATACTCCACAGCATTAGATAAATACTTCAAGAGAGCTGTGTTCATGCAAATAGCTCTCAAAGGTTCCTGAAAACCTCAATAAACTGAACATTGTAAACCAGCGGTCCCCAACCTTTTTTGCGCCACGGACCGGTTTATGCCCGACCATATTTTCACGGACCAGCCTTTAAGGTGTCGCGGATAAATACAACAAAATAAAACTAGTACCGGTACCGAAAAATAATAAGATTTATTCATAACACACGTGAAAAGACCCAGGAAAACAGAGTTAACGATAACAAAATAACGTTGAAAACCGATAAAAACCATACATTTCACACCTGAGCCTCAACTCTAAACTAAATAATATGCATATTGTCTGTTAATCACCTATTAAAATGCACCTATATCAGGCTTACCAAAGTCTGGGTGTGAGGTTTGTAGCGTCCACATACTCTCCCCACAAGCAGGCCTCTCCACCAATCACCAGCTTTTTCTGCTCATCAGTTCCTGTTTTAAAATTTAGCATTTGATCGGGTCAGGGAAATTCAACAATGACACATTCGAAAAACTGAAAAGGGACAACAGTGATGAATAAAATAATTGAATTATCTAAATTATATATTCTCCCGAATGACAGTAAAATATGAATTTATTTTTCTGCTCGTTACTGAACAGGCTTACACCAATTTGCACAGGAGTGACATTCCTGAAACTTGAGATCTAGGCCAAAAGTTGACTACAGTGTGACCCTGACAACAACAAAGCAATAAAATATTATCACATGAACGGGGTCAAGTTCTGAAAGGTTGTAAATATGAATCGGAAATTATCTTAAAAAAAAAAATATATATGAATCATTAATGCAGACACAAACCCTTAAAGTCCTGTGGGTCGGCCTTGTAAAAGCCCTGCCAGTCCTGCCCGTAGGAGATACGGTTCAGGTACCAGGGAGTGGACAGCAGGGTCTGGTACCCTGATGCAGTAACGTTTGCCATCTCATTCTGGTATTGTTCCTGGTTTCCCTTCCAAACGTGGATTAGTGTGTCTGCTTTCAGCTACACAGCACACACATACACAGACATCTCAGTAATGAGAACATAAGAGAAAAGTACGGAGAGGAACCAAGACAAAAGCTTTTTCCAGCTTTATAGAGAACCAAACCTTACACATTTCGACCAGTCATGCACAAATGTACCCAACATTGTTTACTCATGACTTCCTTCTTAGTTTTTTCAGTATCATTTCAAATATGCGATTGGTCCCCCATAGTGGTGAAAACAGCAGCACATTAAAAGGAACAACATCTGAAACCACCAACCACAATGCCCCATGTTCAGTCTGTTGGCCTTTTGTCACAACTGTGCAATTTTCAAGTGTACAAGTGTAAGCCTGTTGGAAGTAACAAAAAAACTGAGTTCATATCAATATATATTCAAAATATGACCAATTCTTGTTTAAAACTGACCTTCAAAGTTGAGTGGTTCAACTTTGTAGTACTTCTGCCAATCCTGCCCGTAGCTAATATAATCTAGGTACCATGGAGCAGAGAGGATGGTGGTGTAGCCTGCTGCCGTGACATTGCTCATCTCCTTATCACTTCCGCCACCAATCCACACATGCACTACCGTGTCAGGCTTTAGCTGGAATGGTTACAAATCAAACTCGTGCACTTGAGTTAAATCATTACATGAAGGTTGACTGTGACTAAAGAAATGATTAGAGGACATGACTGGTGTAACATCGTTTTGCTTTGTTGCCAAGAGTTAGATGAGAATCTCAAGACTAATTTCATGTCTGTCTCTAAGTTAGCATTAAAAGCTAGCAAGCTAAGCTTACTACAAAGTCTTGAAAGGGGTAAAATGCTGTTACGGCCTACATCATAAAATCCCAAAGTCTAATAAGCAGACTTTAAATCTTTTACGCCATTGACTCTCAAACTTTAGTAGCCAGGACCCCATACAGGCAAGACAAGCTTCTTAATGATGCAAATTGAGCTAGTTTGGTCTTAGCATCATTTCACAGTATTGATTATTTGAATATTTCTCTATGATTGCCAGCTAGCTAATATTAACAAGCTTCCTGAGAAAAGTGACTCATTTCATGACAGTTTAACACAATTATACAGTACTGTGCAGAAGTCTTGAAAGTCACCCTTCCTTTCAGAGAAATATATATATGTATCATGGTAATTATAGCCCCAGTAACTGGCTACTAGCGCGAGCCTATAATTTAGCATTTAGACAATTGAGTATTTATCCAACTTTCAGCAAGATAGTAAAAAAGCTTAATTTTTCCAATTAGTCCTTCACTAACTAAATGAAAAACTTCAAATTAAATCAAAGTTAAATTGATGATTAAGCATTCAACATTCAAATTGATTTAGCTAATGTTTCAAGACCTTACCTTAACACCATTGTCAAAGACCTCCTGCCAGATCAGGTAGCCCTTCTTGGTAGAGGTCACAATATCCAAGAGTCTGTTGGATCAAGAAAGCATCAAAGGAAACTTCTTTTTTTTCATTTCAACTATTAAATAGCAAACAGAGGTTTGATGGGAAACACACTTTTGGATGTAGAATGATTCCAGTTTTCTGTAGTCGTCTCCAAAATGTTGCTGCTGCATGAACTTCTGAATGTCTGGGTTGGACTTCCTGCAGGACAAAGCCAGCAGCTTAAATCTGTTGCCTGACCTCTGAGGCTAAAAGTAATTTTTCCGACTATACGTGCACAGTCTCACCAGCATGTGAAGTCCACCTCATCACCTCCCAGGTGAACGTAGCCATCGGGGAACACTGTGCTGATCTCCGTGAAGAACTGAGCCATGAAGTCGTACGTGGTGTTCAGGATGGGATTCACTGGCCCGAAAGAGCCAGAGGGTTTGGACCCAGAGTAACAGGGTGTGAGAAGATCTTTTTGGCCTGATGGGAAGTGATAAAGAGTAAAGATCAAGACATCTTCAAATAATAAAAAAAAAATTGTTAAAACTAAAAAGTCTAAAAACCTCACCTTTGCCCCAAGACTGTGTGTGTCCTGGAGTGTCAAACTCCGGTATGACACGAATGCCTCTTAGACGAGCAAACTCGATTACCATCTTCACATCGGCTGGTGTATACACGTGGGTGTATGGGTGGTAAGCTCCCTGCGAACAGTGGATCACAGCACTCTTAATAAAAAGCACCCTGCTCCTCTCTGGTGAAGTTTAAAACCAACAAACTTTGTACCAACCTGCTCGCTGAGCTGTGGGAAGGTTCGGCTTAAGTAAGGGAAGGACTGATCGTCGACAATGTGCCAGTGGAAAACATTGAATTTGTTCATTGCCATTGTTTCCTGTATGAATGAACCAGGAGAGAAAGTAATTTAGAAAGTCTGTTAAATGATTGAAAGGTAAAAAATGTTTTAAAAAGTCATACCAAATTGGCCAAAATGACTTTAATGGGAAGGAAGTGCCGAGAGCTGTCCAGTAAGATGCCTCTGTGTTGAAACCTGGGGAAGTCATTGATTATTGTTGCATTGATACTTTTCTGAAAAAGATGCAAAGTTGGAAAAAAAAGAACTTCAATTCAAATCTCGCTCACAAAAAGTTCTTTAAGGATTAACATGGTCGAAAACAAAAAACAGAAACAGCCAAATGTCTTTAACTTACAGCTCCATATTCATCTTCAAACACCAACTGGCTAAAGGTTTCCAGGCCTAGAAAAAATAAAGCAATCCAAAATAAACACATGATACAGTTCTTGGAAAACATTACAACCCCATAAAACTAAATGTAATCTGAAAACAGCAAAGGATAATATGACCAAAGTTCAACAACAACAAGTCGTGTTGAGGTGTGTCCTGTGTAAAAGCTCAG